GGGACCACCCCGCTTGCTCCTTTCTGCCCAAGCGGCACGGCTCCTGCCGCCACACCCTGTGGAGCCAGTCCGCTCCCTGCAACGTGTGCTGCCTGGCCGGCACAAGGCGGTAGAATGTTACCGTCTGTCCTCTGCCGTGCAGGGCCAGGAGCTTGCGCTGTTTGCGTAATTGAGATCGTATGTGCAGCTGCTGGCTGCGTAGATTGCGTAAGTTGCGAAATTTGCATATTGGCCGCTTTCTGAGTACAGACGGGTTCCGCATCGCCCCCCTCTCTGGTCCCGGATATTCCATGGGGTCCCCGATATTCCATGGGGTTCCAGATCTGTGGGCAATATCCTTGCAAGGCTGGGGGGTCCTTGGACTACCTGGGCTGCCCCCACCTCCGTCTGGGTAGCTATCAGCGATTTTTCAAGTGGCAATGAAGCTGTGGACGCTGACAGAGCTAACAAAGCAACTCCCCCTTCCTACGCACTCACCGCTTTTTTCTGTGCGGAGTTAGTGTCGCTGGAGGTATTCTGTGTACCTTTTATGTTGATTATAGATTCATAAACTGCTGTACATGCTGGCAAAAGTTTTGCAGCCGTGGTGTTTTTAAGTATCTCTTCATCATATAGTTTTAAACTGACAGAGTCCCATAGAGATGGACTGAAAAGCAATTATATATCTGCAGTTGGAAACTTTTCTCGGACCCAAGTTAACACGTCTAGCAATTAGTCTCTTGAGACGAGGATAGGATGATTTTTAACCATGGATTCTAATTTTTCCGTTGCTTCTTTTTGTGTCTTGTGTTATGAGTAAAATGTTGTCCATATTTTTAAAAGTTGCAGAGTTCACAAGTTAAACCAATTGCTGCCAAGTTGGAGTTCTAACTATTTATTGTTAATAATTTCATGTTGTAATCTCCTGTTAACAGTTTCCTTTTGATTTACCTGTTCTCCATAGTGCCCTGAGCAAGCTCGCCGCTGCCTTCCCGCCCCAGGAGCGGCGGGGCCCCCACACCTTTTGGCACGGGTCCTGCCCGTGCTGGGGGGTAGCCCGAGAGTGTCCCAAAAGTGCGGACCCGCCCCAGGAGCGGCGGGGCGCCCCCCCGCCCCCCCCGCTTAGCGCGGGTCCCGGTCGTGCCAGGTGTGAAAAATGCATGTATTTTATGATTGGCTTTTCGCAAATATTAAAATGAATATTATATGTGTTGTGTTAGAAAGTAATGCTGTATTAGTTCTCTTAAGTACTGTGTTAAATATAGTTTTAGGTTATAAAAATTGTTAAAATAGAAACGATGCTATGTAAGATACTTTTTTTAAAAAGAAAGGACTCTCAGCGAGATAGCAGCCACAGGACACCTAAATCTTTCAGAGAAGAAGAATTTATGGCCCTCTTATCAGAAGAAACCCACTTCTTCCCGCCTCGAAGGCGCTGTTAAGATTCGGAGGAAGAAGTTGATGATGACCAGACAGAATCCTGTATTTGAATGGAATTTATGCATCATGTATGAAGTGTATGAATATTGTCCTTGTTAAAAACGCCAATCACTTGTTTTTAAAATTTTTAAAAGTTTAATAGTAATAAAATGGTTATAAAAATAGTAATACAATTAGAGTAATAATAATTTGGACAAATTGAATTAGGACAATATGAGACAATAAATACAAAGAGTTACGGACGTCCGGGTACCTTTTTCTGGGCAGCATGAGCCTGAAAAAGGACCCCTGTTAACAAAGGATTAACCCTTAAAAACAATAGCCTGTTGCATATTCATACACTTCATACATGATGCATAAATTCCATTCAAATACAGGATTCTGTCTGGTCATCGTCAACTTCTTCCTCCGAATCTTAACAGCGCCTTCGAGGCGGGAAGAAGTTGGTTTCTTCTGATAAGCGTTATAAAATTGACTCAAAACGAGTAATTTCCAATCAAAGAATTTATTAATTATTGAAGCAGTTATACTACGTAAGCAAAGGCTCAGCGCTGGGCGACAGGGGAGTCTCCGCTCCACCTACTGCCGCACCAACTAGTTTCTGATTCAGTCCTTTTATCCTCTCCATCCTTCAGGAGTCCATGTTATCTCGGAGTTCTCTGCGCCTGCGCTGGTTGTTGCTAGGGGGTCATCCTTCTGTCTCCTGGTGGTCGGTGATAAAAGGCTGCGGAGTCTTCCTCAGCTGCGTCTTCTTCACCCTATGTCCTTATTTGGTGACTTCTCTGTGGAAAATTACCAAAATCTTATGATTAACGCAATATGTGCCCTATCAAGCTTAAGCAAGCAAATGTCCTGCCTTGCAAACTGTGCCCTATCAAGCTTAAGCAAGCAAATGTCCTGCCTTGCAGACTGTTTATCTGCCCCTGCCCCTTCCCCAGCTTTTCCCTGGTCGTTATCTCTGAGAGTTATCTGCTTGTACCATTTGTCAGCGGGAAAGGTTTCCCTGCTGGGTGTTAATCTGCCCCTGCTCTTTCCCCAGCCTTTCCCTGGTCGTTATTTCTGTGAGTTATCTGTTTGTACCATTTGCTGGGTGGGACTATGTGTGGGCTCCTGCAACCCCTTCCCTGGTATCCTTGTGGCTCATATCTCATGAAGTAGTACAGAAATAGTCAGCAGACAACTCTTGTAACACACTGGTCTCTTTTTCGTGACGAACAAAATGTAGTCCCTCATCTCAATAAGAAGGCAATAAATTCTTTTCCTTGAAAGATTTAGGTGTCCTGTGGCTGCTGTCTGGTGCGAGTGCCTCATTCCTTTCTTAAAAAAACCACTAACATAGTTCTTATTTTAACTACCAAAGTTACCTTCTAATTGCAAAACTACATTTATTATTAAAATGTTAATACAGCACTACTAATCAATACATTAAAATACATATTCATCACTACTAATCAATACATCAAAATTCAGATGGTAAATATCTGCGTAGAGCCATATAATAGGCACTTTTCACATCCTAATTCAAATTCTCCAAATTATTAATACTCTAATTGTATTACTATTTTTATAACCATTTTATTACTATTAAACTTTTAAAGTTTTAAAAACAAGTGATTGGCGTTTTTAACACAGGGGAGCCCCGCGGGGGTGGCCCAGGAGCGTACCAGGAGTGGGGATCCACCCCCCCTCACTGCAGGGCACGGCCGTGCCTGCAGAGCCCCGCAAGGACCGGCCCGGGTCGCCGTGTCCTGCAGGGGCAGCCGCTGGCCAGCTCCCTTTGCCGGGCGTCGCCCTGCTGCTTTCTGGAAGATGGCACCCGGATGGTGAAGAGGAGGGGACCTTGGAGTTGGCATGCAAATGACCTCGGAGCCAGCATGCAACGGGAGAAGCCCCTCACCAAACCTAGCAAAAAAACCCTAAAAACAAGGAGCCAACACAAAATTGACGGTTCAAAGTGATGTCTAGATGTCAGGAACAGAATCCAGTATCCGCTAAGACCCTTTTTACCCCTCACCCTAACCTAAAAGATGTTGGCTGGACAGAGGACCTCGAATGTCACACCATAAACTTGGAAATCTCCTGCTGCTCTCGTGAGGGCCGTGGTCCCAGTTCTGCCTGTAATCCAGTGGACAAAGCTGCATACTTCCTCCTCCACTGTGCTATTCCTGGGAGCAGAGGTGGTATGAGCGCGTACCCATCGGTTCTCCCCATCCAAGGTGATCACTTTTAATAAAAGCACTAATAAGGAAAAAGATCTTCTACCCTGTTTATTACATCTTGGATGTTACATTTCCCATTTTTATACTGTTTTTGGCCATGAAGGAAGACATAAAAGGATTCCTACCTGACTCAAAGTTCAGCTGATAAGCTCAGTCTCATGGTCTCACCTCTGGCCAGCAGGCATGAGCCTCAGATCTGAGCTGGTCCTGTCCCCGGGGATTCAGTTTCTCCAGCTTTTTGCTGCCACACACCAGCTTAACGCTGCTTCTTCCACATAAACTGCTGATTTTTTCCTTCAGGGACTCTGGCCTAGGAGCTTAGGCTTTTTCCTCACACAGCAGGGCACAATATGTTGGAATACCAGGCTCTTTTTTGCTCCAAGGTCAGGGCGAATAAAACTCAGGAGACGTTGTTTTTGAAGTCTCACTGAAGTTTATTATCCTCATCTATTACAAACTCACGAGATGTGAGCTCTCTCTAACAAGTCAAGAAAGTGAGTTAAAATGGTGTCTTTTCAAGGCTATTTAAGTCCCAATTATCCAAAAAACAGTTGACATGTATATTATTTATGCTTCTAACCCAATTATGATCACCCGAAACCTGCAATGCGGGCATCTTTCACCCAGTTAGGAAAAACCACCAAGATTTTGGAAGAGGAAGGAAGAAGGTGCAAAAAAGACAACTAACCCACACCCAAAATTCTCCATCTTGGCTCCCATATATCACAATATACTAAAATCCCAAATCTAAGTTTTTTCACCCTGTGAGATCACACAATACTATCCAAACTACACACACACTGTTTCTGTGCTATCACTCAATTTGTGAAGCCTTTTCCAAGGTCTCAGGTCAAACGAGGTGTTTACTTGAGGGTGGGCACCCTTAAATTCAGAAAGCTCGAAGTTTTCAGCCGTCAGAGTTCCAACACACCACTAGTGACTGGCTGCCAGCTGTATGCAGCACCATGCACCACTACTCTCTGTGCCCAGCCATCCAGCCAGTTCCTAACCCAGCAGAGTGCTCCTGTCCAAGCCGTGGGCTGTTGGCTTTTCCAGGAGTATGCTGTGGGAGACAGTGTCATAGGCCTTGCTGAAGTCCAAATAGGCAACAACCACAGCCTTTCCTGCATCCACCAGGCAGGTCACCTGGTCATTAAAGGAGATCAGGTTGGCCAAACATGACCTACCCCTCCTAAACCCATGCTGGTTAGGTCTGATACCCCGGCCATCCTGTAAGTGCTGCATGATGACACTTGTTCTAGTTTAGGGCAAATTTGGGAGAAAACCTCTAAAGGGGGCCCCTCCAGAAAGCAAACCCACACAGCCCCTCCCCCCAACTGGTTCATGAAGGATTCCTTGAAGTGGAATGAACCTGTTTATTTAGCAGGCAAAGCAGTCCCCAGCAAACAAAATGAACAATACCAGATGACAAAACTCATTTGCTGCTCTGAAGAGATGACAATTTCAGAAAGTCTCTCCGGTGAGTGGTCGCTCTGTTATTAGTCCCTCCAGCACTGGGAAAGGCTGCAGAGTGGACCCTGGCAGGCTACAAAGTGTTCTCGGTGTTTCTCTGGGTCCTGGTCTGGAGCAGGTTTGAATAGTTCCAAGAAGAGGTGTCTTGGTTTTGAAAGACAGGTGTTTGCTAAGGAAGGCAGGAGCCTCCCCTGAAATGGAAAATGTAAACCCCCTCCCTCCAAATTGCTATAAATTTTAAATTAAGGGGCTCTCAGGCAAAAAATATGGGAGCTGGAATAACAATTTTTTACTAGGGAAGAAAATAAAAAAATAAAATAATGCAGTAAACTAAAACAACACTGACAGAGTCAGAACACAACCTGACACCCTGTTGGTCAGGGTGTTGGTAGCAGTCCAATTGGAATTGTGGCTGCAGTCTTTCCAGTCCTCCTGGAGTGTCAGGTGTCGTTCTGTTGGAGCAGGGATCCTGTAGAAAGGTGTAGTCTTCCTCTGAAGATCCAGTGGAAGAGAGCAGCTGTTCCTCTGGGAAAATCCAGTGGAGAAAGCTGTGTTGGTGTCCAGATTATATCTTGGTAGAATGCTTGGCTCTTTCCTCTGGGCAGAGCATCTCACAATGGGATGCTATAGTTCTTATCAGTCATGCACTGACATTCAATAGCCTATTATCAGCAGATGTGCCCCCTGGAGGAAGGATTGGGTGTGGAAGAGATAAAGAAAACTGCCCAGTTAACAGAAGACAACTGCCATACAGATGGCAAATAGAATACAATTTGCTTGACAATCCAGGACAAGAGGGAAAGAAAAACAGTCCAGGGAAAGCTCGGACTGCCTCAGCTAGCTAAACTAACAAACTAAAAAGCCAAAGGAGCAAAAGGAGCAAAAGGAGCGTGGTGTTCTGCCCCGCCCGTGCCCAGACATCAACAGTGTTCCAGCAGACTGGAGGAGGAGTCCAGTCCCTGATAACAAAACTCTGTGCTTCTTCTTCTCCCTGCCTTCTCTCTCAGCCAGTCTCGAGGGCACAGAATATAATATCCAGCATAATCAGAGCACACGATTGGGGATACAAGCATCATAACATCACCCTAGGACAACACTAAGTATAAACTGTTCCATTACCTTACCGGGTACTGAGGTCAGGCTAACTGGCCTATAATTTCCAGGATCCTCCTTCCCACCCTTTTTGTGAATGGGTGTCACATTAGCCAGCTTCCAGTTATCTGGAACCTCACCAGTGAGCCGGGACTGTTGGTAAATGATGGAGAGTGGCTTCGCAAGCTCATCTGCCAGCTCCCTCATCACCCTGGGATGGATCCCATCTGGTCCCATAGATTTATGAACATTGAAGCGGCTCAGCAGTTCTCTGACTGCCTCCTCCTGGATAAGAGGGGGACCGTTCCACTCCCTAACACCATCTACCAACCCAGGAGGACAGTTGTCCTGAGGACAAGCTGTCTTTCTGTTAAAGACGAAGGCAAAGAAGGCATTAAACACCTTCACCTTCTCCCCACCTGCAGTTACTAAATTCCCTCCCACATCCAGAAAAGAACAAAGGTTGGTTGTAGGAAAGACATTCTGTGCTGTTCTTGTGAGCCAGCAAAGGCTTCCTGAAGATAAAGGAAAGCCCCATATCTCTCCTGAGGAAGATACCAAGGTTGTCACCATGGAGATGTGATGAAGGAGAGAAAGTTAAGAGATACGGACTCTAGCTGGCTCACAGAATGACGTGGCTTCTTGGTCACCCACTGAGAACTTTGTTTCTTTCCTATAACCAATGGGCAGTGAATGTGTATGCTGAGTGAATGTAAATATCTTGAAAAAGTATAAAAGCAACATGTTGCTATAATAAACCTCTCTTGCACCCTTCTGATGGAGTCCTGGTACTTTGTGCTGTGTTGTGCTCTATAACTGTTGCAGTGTAATAACGACAGTTGGTCTTACCCTTCCTTTTACCACTAATATATTTGTAAAAAGATTTTTTATTATCCTTTACAAAAGTTGCCAAATTAAGTTCTAAATGAGCTTTGGCCTCTCTATTTTTTTTCCTACATGCCCTTAAATATTTCCTGAAACACCTGACCCTCCTTCCAAAGATGATACATCCTCTTTTTAGTCTTAAGTTCCCTGGAAACTTCGTTGCTCATCTAGGCTGGATGTTTATCCCGTTGACTTGTCTTTTGGCACACAGGTTCAGTCTGTTCCTGTGCCCTCAAGATCTCTGTTTTGAAGCATGCCCACCTTTCCTGAACTCCTTTGTTTTTAAGGGCTGCTTCCCAAAGAACTCTCTGAATAAGTCTCCTAAATAGGCAAAAGTCTGCCCTCTGGAAGTCCAATGTAAAAGTCTTATTGATGTTCCTCCTCATTTCACCAAATATTGAGAACTCTATAATTTCATGATTACTATGCCCCAAGCAGCCTCCAATCACCACGTCTCCCACCAGCCCATCTCTATTTGCAAACAACAGGTCTAAAATAGTCTCTCCCCTGGTGGGCTCACCTACCATCTGTGACAAAAAGTTGTCCTCCACACACTCTAAGAACTTCCTGGACTGCCTCTTTTCTGCTATATTAAGTTCCCAGCAAATATCTGGTAGGTTAAAGTCACCTACAAGAACAAGGGCGGGTGATCCTGAAACATTCTCCAGCTGCTTATAGAATACATTGCCCACCTCTTCTTCCTGGTTGGATAGAGGATAACAGACTCCCAGTAGGATGTCAGCCTTGTTGGCCTTCCCTTTAATACTTGGCCATAGGCATTTAACTTCATCATCATTAGTTTCAATATCCATGGCATCAAAAGCCTCCCTAATATAAAGCACCACCCCTCTAACTCTTCTCCCTTTCCTGTCTCTTCTGAAGAGCTTGTAGCCATCGAGTGCAGCGCTCCAGTTATGAGTCACTCCACCATGTTTCTGTGATAGCGACTACATAATAGTTTTGCTGTTGTACTATGGCTTCCAGCTCTTCTTGTTTGTTACCCATGCTGCATGCATTAGTATACATGCACTTCAGCTGGGCTACTGATTTCACCCCTAACTGCCCCTCTGGAAACGGCATTCGTGAAAAGAGGGATATCTGATGTGATAGAGGTCGGATCCAGGTTCACGCAGCACCGATCCTGGGATCGACACTGTCTCTTTGACTGTGGTTTTTGAGGACCGTATTTTGGTCGCGAAAATAAAATCTTTCGCATTTATTAATTTGGCTTTCTTGTTGATCATTTATAACAGGATATTACCTTAAAGTTAACATTGCATAGGCAACGGCTGCACTGTTTTCCCCCCCGGTCTAAGCAGCTCACTCTAGTTTCCAGTACTAACACTCGTGACCCTTGCAAGCATGCTGTTATCACGGTCTTACTTCCCCACAGAAACAAGTTCTGGAAGCTATTGCAGCCTGCAGGATGACCACTTTGTGGTTTGGTTTGGTTTTGTTTTTAACTAGAGAAAGCCGTAATTCCTTGCCCTAATAATCCAATTTGCGGGTTCAGAACCAAAGCCTAGCACAGTGAAGCTGCAAAACCTCTTCTATGCAGTTAGGAGACAGATTGAGACCAAGTCACCGTCGGAGGCCCGCCACTACTCGTGCACATGACACGGTGGGGGTGGGGTGCGAGGCAAGTCGGGACAACACCAGCAACCCAGTACGCCTGCGGCAGCCGGAGCGGTGGGGGTGCGGCTCAGAACAAGCTTAGGGGATGGTGCAGTAGAGAGCGCCACAACCCAGAGAGGCCCCGTCCGTCCCCCGTCCCTGCACGCACCCACAGCAGCAGCGCCGCTCCACGCCCTGCTGCCTGCCCGGGCACCGTGCACTGGGTCCTCGGCTCAGATGCCCGCAAACGTGGGAGGAGGGGGGGGGGGGGGAAGGGAAGAGAAACCGCACACAGAGAAAGCTGCGGTTACCTCCTCGTCCTCGTCACAGACGATATCAGTGATATGCCTTGCCGATAATCTTTCCAAAGACAGTAGTGGTGCCAGCAGAGCAAGAAGAAAACACCCTGATACTCTCATCAGACAAGGTCACCTGTTGTGGCCCGCCTCTTCCTCCACTCCGCCATGCTCTCCACGATTCCCATTGGGCCGACAGATGCTCGCCAGCCGATCCCGCATCTCGATTCGCTGTCTGCTCCACCCTCCTCAAGCTGCTGCTTATCGTGGCTCAGGGATTTGCATGCCCTTGGGGCAGGGAGTGATCCGCCTCATATAGTGCTGCAACCCTGAGGGTGGGCTACGAGGTCGCAGAAAAGGCTGTAATAGCTACAGGTACTGTTTCTTGTTATTTGTTACTGCATCAAGTCCACCCCAAAGGTGCCTGTGCCTTTTTGGTGCTGCTCCCTCCAGTCAAATGACTGCTTTGGCTAGGGCAGGGCAGGCCTGGCCTTAACTTCTCAGGACATTTTGAAAAACCAACACGTGGCCTGTGTAATATGCATATTTTATGATTGGCTTTTAGCAAAAATTATAATGAATATTATATGTGTTATGTTAGAAAGTTATGCTGTATTAATTTTCTTAAGTAGTGTGTTAAATAGTTTTTGGTTATAACATAATGGTAAAATAGAAACTATGCTATTTAAGATACTTTTTTAAAGAGAGGACTCCGAGATAGCACCCACAGGACACCTAAATCTTTCAGAGAAAAAGAATTTTTTGCTCTCTTATCAGAAGAAACTAACTTCTTCCCACCTCACTCAGCCCTGAAGACGCCGTTAGGATTAAGAGCAAGAAGTTGACACAGACTTGACAGAATCCTTTGTTTGAATGGAATTTATGCATCATGCATGAGGTGTATGAATATGCAGCAGGCTGTTGTTTTTAAGGGTTAATCCTCTGTTAACGTGTGTCCTTTTTTGAGCTTATTTTGCCCAGAAAAAGGTACCCGGACTGTCTGTAACTCTTTCTTTTTATTGTCTCATATTGTCCTAAATCCTAATTTTCCAAATTTTTATTACTCTAATTATATTACTATTTTTTATAACCATTTTATTACTATTAAACTTTTAAAATTTTAAAAACAAGTGATTGGTGTTTTTCACTAGGCCTCAGCTCTCTTCACAGAGAGCAGCAGGCACAACTTCCCAAGGATTTTTCCCAGGGAAGGCAGTGAGAAGCACAGAGAGAAGAGAAAACAAATCTTTACTATAGTACAGTATCTCTTTAGTATATTTATAATATAGCATTAATGTAATATAGTATAGTTTTAATAAAGCAACAGTTCAGCATTCTGATTCATGGAGCCAGAGCACATTATTTCCCGCATTGGGGGCAGCCTGCATTGATACCAACAGAAGTTGCTCTACATTGTTTGCTGAAAGCCCTACTTCCATTGCAGACATTTCTATGCTGCACGTCTCCTGGAAGCAAATGAAATGCAAAGCGTGCCTTTGGCACTGCTGGCTTGAGGGCTTAGGAGAGTAGGATTTGCGTTAAGCTGGATAGGAGGCTTTTAGAAAAGTAGGCAGTGCCCTCAAAGCTGCCCAAGGGTGGTCTGTGGTGCCCTGCATCCCCAGGGACAGTGAGCACCTTGAATGGTCCACACAACTGTCTTGTAACATATATGAACCCTGCTTTCCTCTATAACAGGCTAAGGATATCCTTGGCCACCTTTGAGGCAAGAGCACATTGTCCTATTTTGCAAAGCTGCTTTCCAGCCAATCAGCCTCCAGCATGTACTGGTGCATGGGGTTGTGCGTCCCCAGGTGCAGGACTTGTGTATGTACAGGTTCCTCAGGTGGTCTCAAAAGACATAATTTCCTGTACTGGGAGGGACTTTGTTCCCCAAGTCCCTGCCTTGAGGTTCAGGGGTTTGAGAACTAAAGTCATGACAGTGAAAATGGAGTAAAATAAATTGCCAAGTAAAACAGCCATCTCCATGTTGCTTCTCACTCGACATCCTGGCTTATTTATCAGCGGGGGAAAAGGGGGTGGCATCTTCAGTCTTCCTTTTCTGACCAATGCACCTGTGGAAGCCCATCGTATGATTCTTTCCATCCCTTGCCAAATTCAGCTGCAGCTTTGCCTTAGTTGTTTCTGATCCCATCCCTACAGACCTGGGAGGCATCTTTAGAATCTTCCCAGAATGCATGTGCCTGCTTCCACTACCTATGCATTTCCTCCTTGTGCTTTGGCTTGTTATAGATAAGTAATGTAATAGTTGGCTCTCACAATTAAGAGATAGATATTATGTAGATGTATAGTAATGTTATTGTAATATGTCATCGCATAGTCCTCTTTCTCTCCCCCCCTTGTAATAGCCTTAGTAGTCAAGACATTTAGAGGAGGCCGGCTTGTTACCAGGAGGCACAGCATAACAGCACCTGACCTCCAATCAAGACGTAAAAAGTAATCTCCACCAATGGACGACAGAGAAAGAGTTGACTGACAAAACTTTGGGAGGTGCTAAGGCTATAAAAGGCAGAACATCCATTTTGTAGATGAGCCATGTGGCTGGTAGTCACGCGGGGGGGCAGGCATTCAGCACTGTAATTTTTCCTTATTTAGTCCTTTGTTGGAGTTTTTGTTAAAAGTTTAATAAAATTTTTTAAAGTGAGCAGTTGTTTCTCAAAATGGGGACTTTTTCCAGATAAATCTCATCTCCGTGGCTGTACGAGATTTCGAAGGAGAAGCGTGCCCTGCCGCAAGTTCGGCAGCTCTGTCAAGTTCTCCTGCGACCACCGGTGATTGCAAATCAGCACTGGGGACAACAGAGGACTAAATAACAAAAAAGAGGTGGGAGAAGAAGAGAAAAAGCCCCTGAAAACTGCAGATCTAGAGGATTGTGAGTAATAGTACGAGTAAGAGCTGAGAGTATACTTGAAGTGTGAGTAGAGTGCTTGGGGTGGGTTTGAAGATCCTCATAACTATTTTTGGCCAGATTGTAATTTCCATAATCCCGATGTATAAAAGTCAGCTTCAGACAATACATGGGATCTATCCTGGTCGGTTGAAGCTTTAAGATATTGGACAGTTGGAAGAAAAAGATGGAGGGATGCGGGGGGGGGGAAGAAAGTGGGGACCCTATAGCAGGCGGGATGCGTGTAGAAGAGGTGAAGCGATACACAGAATAAATAGACTTCACAACCTGATGTAGTTTGTCAGTACCTGGCACAAGCGAGGTAGCTCTCGTGAAAACTTGTGCCCCGAGCCCTGGTCTGAGCCACATCTTTATTCACAAAGGTGTTCCATATGCATTACATTGCACAGCCTTCTCATGCATATTCAACCCCTGGCCCCGCCTGTCCTTGCCTCACATGGTAATTAGATCCACACCTTTCTGAGCATGCATTGCTTCACGGTGGTGGTCCCACAGGGTCTTTCGGTGGTCTTTGAGGCTGAAGGCCGTGGTCTTCCTCATGATTGAACTTTTGAACTTTTCTCCTTTGCGCATGTGCTTTTGGTCTCTTGGTACTTATCTGAGTACGTCTGTCGATTTTGATCAGCTTGGAGACAGAGGAGTTCCTTTATCTGTGTTTCTCGCACTCCTTGGTCTTCTCCCGGTATTGTTCTGTATTGCAAGAAGCTTCAGAAATTTGCATTTTCCAATGCCCTTTGTACCATGGCAGAGGTTTCTTAAGTGAAAGGTTAAAATTCAACACATAAGTCTACAAGCTAAAATTTAAATGCTTAATTCATATTGCTAACTTAACTGAACCCCCAAAACCTCCATTTCAGAGGGAGTGAGAAAACTACAGGCAAGATGCATAGAAGAGGAAAGCGGGGACCCTGTGTGTGAAAAATGCATGTATTTTATGATTGGCTCTTCACAAATATTAAAATGAATATTATATGTGTTGTGTTAGAAAGTAATGCTGTATTAGTTCTCTTAAGTACTGTGTTAAATATAGTTTTAGGTTATAAAAATTGTTAAAATAGAAACGATGCTATGTAGGATACTTTTTTTAAAAAGAAAAGACTCGCAGTGAGATAGCAGCCACAGGACACCTAAATCTTTCAGAGAAGAAGAATTTATGGCCCTCTTATCAGAAGAAACTAACTTCTTCCCCCCTCGAAGGCGCTGTTAGGATTTGGAGGAAGAAGTTGACGATGACCAGACAGAATCCTGTATTTGAATGGAATTTATGCATCATGTATGAAGTGTATGAATATGCAACAGGCTATTGTTTTTAAGGGTTAATCCTTTGTTAACGGGTGTCCTTTTTCGGGCTCGTGCTGCCCAGAAAAAGGTACCCGGACGTCCGTAACTCTTTGTCTTTATTGTCTCATATTGTCCTAATTCAGTTTGTCCAAATTATTATTACTCTAATTGTATTACTATTTTTATAACCATTTTATTACTATTAAACTTTTAAAAATTTTAAAAACAAGTGATTGGCGTTTTTAACAATTTGGTAGCAGAGGATGGTTAACACCTCTCTGCTGGTGCTTTAGGAGAGTCAGGGTGAGGAAGGCACGCCCTGCCTTCTTTGGCAGCCTCGCTCCGTCTCCCCTGAAGTGACCGACAGACGCAGGTTATGATCTGTGGACAAAAGGAGGCAATAAAACAAAGAGAAGGGAAAAAGGCTCCCTACAACCGCGGTAATTGGCCCCCTAAGACTAGTAGTGCGCACGAAGAACCCGGGAAGGAAAAAGGATTGGTAAGTATTTCTCGGGGGGGCAGGTACGGGGGGATGAATGTGTGTGAATGAGAGGCGGGCTGGTTGTCCCAGACCTACCAAGTGCGTACTGGAGTCTCCCATGCTGCGTTTCTGTCTTTTCGTGAGAAAAGCGGCCAGTAAAGAGACAAAGCGAGTGATAAGAGAGTGAAAGCGTCCCCCGGGGTAACCGGGACTGGGTCTCAGGGAGGGGTTGGACCCTTCGGAGGTAGGGAGCAAGGTTTCCTAGCCCAATCCACTAGGAAACAGGACAGGAGGGGCCCCTAAAAACCTGCTGGGTTGAGGGATTTATATTCCAAGAGCATCCAAGAGCAGGATTAAACGGAATTCTGTCAGAGTGAGGATATGCCCAAGAACACTCAGGGTGGGACAACACAGCTGGGTTGAGGGATATCCTATAGCACCAGGACTGGCCAGTAACACCTAAAGTTGTGATAGGTGATGTGAA